GTGAAGGGTCAGTCTGTCACACTTCTAAGCCCTGCCCATGTCCTTTCTCTTGGAGCAATGCAATAGATTAGCAGTCCTGAAGGTGGTGCTATAACTGTTTAGCTCTATCCAATGTCCTACTACCTTCTCATGATTTAGCCACCCGAGGCTCCAGGTTAAGACGATTTTATTGCTGGAAAGGATTTTACAGATTAGGGCCAATGTCAGGAAGGCTCATCCCTTATTCCCAATCTTTCCTCTTCACTACCTGTCATACATCTGCATAGGGTTGTTGTGAGGATCAAATGAGTTAATATATACAAAGTGCTTTGCAAACCACAAAGTGTGGTATCAGTGTTTCTTTTCTTTTTTTCCCCAACATCCTTCCTTCTTTCCTTCCTTCTTTTTTCCTTTCCTTCCTTCCTTCCTTCCTTCCCTTTCTTTCTTCCCTCCTTTTTCCATCTCTATCTCTTTCTCTTCCTCTCTCTCTGTCCTCTTCCTCCCTCAAATTTAAAAGTTGCTCATCAAAAGTTGTTTATTAAAAGAGAACAGATCTCTCTCTGGAAAAGGAAGACCAAACAGTACGGCTCTGATTGTCAGTAGAAGCCTATCTGGTGATTAGATATAAGCAAGGAAGGAAAAGTTCACAGAAGTAGAGTGCTAGGGATGCTAGTATGAAATGAAACTTTGTGAAATTCACAGGTTTGCTGGCCCCTGATGTCTTCTTTCTCCTCTTCTTCCTCATCATAATTCTAGCTATTATTTCTATAACATTTTCAACTTTGCAAAGCATTGTGCATATATCATTTCATTTGATCCTCACAAAAATCCTGAGAGGTGGTATTGTTAGATCTTTATTTTTGAAGAGGACCAATAACACTATGGGGTGACATTGAGAGGCAGTCCTACAAGTATGATTATCACTACACATGAGGAAAATGAGGCAAAGAGATCTAGTGACATCCCCCAGGGTCACACAGCTCACAGGTGTCCAAGGCAGGATTCAAATCTATGTCTTTCTGACCCCACGTCTAGTCCTCTGTTCTCATCATTATCTTTGTGTAATTGACATCATGGTTGTCATCATCATTACTAGGAAAAGTTGGGGATTTGGAGTCAGAGAATTAGACTACTTTCCTACCTGTGCAACCTTGAGTCAGTAACTTTGCCTCTCTGGGTCTCAATTTCCTCATCTGTAGAATAGGAAGGTTGGGCTAGATAATTTTTAAAGTCTCTTTAGCTCCCAGATTTTGTGTTTCTGTGACTTCTTAGAGTGACCAACCCCCTACCCCTAGAACTCCCAGAGCACTTTCTCTTATATTGTACCTTCAAATCATACTCTGTATTCTGGTTGTTAGTGATATATTTACCTTTTCTCCCTTATCAGACTATAAACTCAGAGAACACAGAGATTGTGACATAAACAATAGCTCACATTTAGAGGACACTTTATAGTTACAAAACACCTTATATAAATGTTATCCTTCCATCGGTCCTGTGAAAAAAGACAAGGCAAGTCTAATTATCTCCATTTTACTCGTGAAGAAACAGATTTGAGGAGATTAAGCGACCTAAGTTATGCACCTGGGCAATTCAAACTCAGATCCTGCTGCTGGGTTTCAAATTCAAATCTCTCTGCAGGTCTAAGGCTCTGTCTATGACACTTACTTGGCTTCATTACTGCATTAGCAGAAACACCAAGGTATAGTAGCTAGAGTGTTGGACTGGGATTCAGGAAGACCAGGGTTTGAATACTATTTCTGACACTTACTAGCTAGATGACCTTGGGCTAATCACCTAACTTTTCTGAGCCCCAGCTTCCTCATTATAAAATAGGGACAACAACAGTTTCACCTTCATAGGGATTTTTGTGGGGTTTAAAAGAGATAACGTCGAGAACTTTGCCAACCTTTAAATGCTATATGAATTCAATCCAATAAATATTTATGAAGTGCCTACTATGCACCAGGCACTATGCTTAGTGCTGGCAATACAAAAAGAGGCCAAAAAAACCCCCAGTCCCTGCCCTCTAGGAGCTTAGAATCTAATGTTGGGGGGGGGGGGAAACAACATGCGAACAAATATCTACAAGGCAAGCTATATGCAGGATAAATAGGAAATAATTAACCAAGGGAAGACTCTGGAATTAAGGGGAGTTGGAGAAGGCTTCCTGTAGAAGGTGGGATTTTAATCGGGACTTAAAGGAAGTCAGGAAAGTCAGTAGTCGGAGTTATTGATTCCCTCTCCCAGTACAACAGCCTGGTGCATGTAGTAGATATTCCATAAATGTTTGTTGATGGGCTTGTTAGCTGAACCCTGTACTTTCATGGACAGAAGAAGCTGCTAATGACAGGAAAGACTCCAATTTTTGTAATAAACAAATATCTTTTATTTCAAATTGTCGGGTTTGAACAATAACAGTGATAACAATAACAATCACTACCGAAAGCTGCCATGGTGCAAAATAATGAATGGGACTGGTGGTGTGTTTTTAGTTTTGCACGCTGAGGTATCAGGCATGGTGAAAAGCACAAAGTAATCAAAGAACTAAAGCTGGGATTTCTCCCATTACTTCTCAAGAGCAAAGAAGAAATGCAAGCAGAAGCTTGGAGATTGTTTGGTCAGTTCTTTCCCTTGATCATTCAGTTCGGTTCAATTCAATTCAATTCATTTCCTGAAGCACCTGCTTTGGGCAGCACAATGTGGGCAAGACAAAGATGAAAAACAATGGGGCCCCTGCCCTCAAATGGCTTACAGTCTAGCAGATAGAAAGAGAACACCCATAACCAGAATACAGCTCAGAGTATGGTTAGACACACTGGAGGGGTCAAAGTGGAGTAACGGGAGAGCTCAAGGAATCTGATATCACTTCTAAGTCAGGTGGATCAGGAGTTGCTGAATGGAGCATCTGGTTCCTGAAATCTTTGAAAGATAGGAATGATTTCAATGGATGGAGATGTGTGTACAAATGGTGATTACTTTAAAGGGACAATGGTGTCAGGGCATTTGCCTCTGGAGATGAAAGGAATGTAAAGAAAGGACCAGGTACCTTCCTCTGATCAGCATGAATTGAGTAGATGTCAGGCAGGAATTTGAGACTTTGAGCTTCTCCCCTTTCTCAACCCTTCCTCACCTCCCCAAGAGCCAGGCAGATCACTCCACCTCCATTACACATAGGACAAAACAAAAACACAGCCATCAGCTTCAGACATTTAATTTTTTAAAAAAGCACCTTGAGTCTTACGTTACTGGAGCAAATCAACAGCATCCATTTCACTGAGAAGAGTCAAAATTCAATTTAATTCAGAAAAAAAAGAATGATGTATTAAATGCCTACTATGTTGAAGGAATTGGGGATGCAAAGACAAAACAAATAAACAACCCCCCCAGTTCTTTCCCTCTATTACAGCAATGTGGATAAACTACCAGAATACATGGCCTAAAGGGTTGTTTAAGTATATATATTGTAAGCTCCTTGAGAGCAGAAATTGGGTTTTACTCATCTCTTTCAGTGCCATGCTCATAAAAAAAATACCACAATACATTTTTGTTGAATGAATAGTATGGTATTATGAGATATAGTACTACATAAGATGATAGGATTCAGAGATGGAAGGAGTCTCTGAGGATTTACCCCCCTCATCTTCCAGAAGAGGAAGCAAAAGACCAAAAAAATAGGATAACTTGGCTAAGTTCATGTAACAATATTGATTAAAGGATGGATTCAGCTCCCCTGCTCCCTCCTGGCAACCATTTACTCCCATAGGCTGGTGAGGAGACAGAAAGAGGGGGACAGTATGATTGAGTCGTCCCACAAGGGCAACCTGCTTACTGATCAGTTCTCTCCCTTCACCCATGACCTTAAGGAAGGAGTTATAGTCACCATTCTTTACGGAAACTGAATCCCAGAGAAGTTTGCCTAATTTGCCTAAAATCACACAGCTGGTCAGTAGAATAACTGAGATTCCAGCCTAGGACCTCTGACTCTAAATATGGTGCTCTTTCCATGGCTACCCCCATGCTTTTGGTGTCAGCTGTGCCATCTGGTCATTCTCACTTCTCAGGGACAGAGTGGTTTCTAGCACCACTTGCTAAGCAATCACTTGCATGTTTTCAAGAGGTAAATTTAGAAATTCTAGCACAATTATATAAAGTATTAAAATCTTGGCAGATACTAGTTGAGGCCCCTCCAATGTCTGTGGCAGGATGGGCTTGAAACTGTGGAGTAAGAACACTATATAGCTTTGATCAACAATATCATTTTATTGTGCCCACAGCTGCCCTTGGGAGACCAGGCTCCTGGACAGTGACTCAGGGAGTTAGAAGAAGACCCTCATAGTATCTGTTCAGAACAGAAAAAAATTGCTACTTACACTCATTCCAATTCATTAGAAAGTCAGGACATCACCTTTATGATGTCACTGGTCCTCTTTGAGAATGAAGGACAGACAACAACAATAAGGAGGCAGCCAGTGGGAGTGAAGGATCACAGCACCAGAGTTAGAAGGCGACCCAGAGGCCATCTAGTGTGACCATCTCATTGTACAGAAGTAACTGAGGTCCAGGAAACTTAAATGACTTTCATGAAGTCACATAGGTAGGAAGTCTCCCAGGCAGGATTTAACTGTGGTCCTCTGATTCTGGTATTCTTTCCATTGTACTACTGTTCCCCTTGCTGATACACCAGAGAGGAGGCACACAATGTGATTCCCTCCTGTCTTTAGCCCTTAGACATTGCCCTAGGATCCAAACACTCCTAGATTTGGCCCTGGTTGTACCTCATTTGAAAAGAAAGAAAATTATATCTTGTCACCCTTAAAAATAAGATAGCTTGAAACAATTTTGAAAATAAGAATGGATTGAACATTGTTGTTGTTCAGTTGTTTTCAGTCATGTCTGACTCTTCATGATCTCTTTTGGGGGTTTTGTTGACAAATATACTGGAGTGGTTTGTCATTTCCTTCTCCATCTCATTTTACAGATGAGGAAACTGAGGCAAACAGGGTGAAGTGACTTGCCCAGCGTCACACAATTAGTAAGTATCTGAGGCCAGATTTGAACTCAAGAAGACGAGTGTCACCTAGATGCCCCATATTGATTGATAAACAATAATGAATTGATCATGAACACTATTTAAAACATAAATAATCCTGTTGCTAGTTCATTGATCAGGGAGTGATATCTCTGGGGTTTAACCTTTCACATGAAGGAATACAAATGCACCACACTTGCTTTATTCATTGGTAAATAATTCCCAGAGTCAGTTATTTTCCAGGCAAACTAAAATAATACATTTTTAATATACAATACAGTTGCATCTGATATCCAAAAAACTCAAGACAAATTAAAATTTCAAAACCAAGTTACCAAAAGTACTTTTGTTTTATACAGTCTGAAAACATGGGCCAACTACTTCTCAGTCCAGCTTTTGGATGTATGTCCTGACGGGACACAAAGATTCCTCTCTGTCCTGTTGTCATTCTGCTCTCCTTCAGTGGTAGTAGATGCTGAAGGCATGGAGGATGTACATAAAGGTAGTAATAAAAGCAAAGAACTGGAAGAGAAACAAGGGGAGGGGTTGAAATGAGGAGTAATGACGCAGCTCAGCAGCAGCCCAGGGCAGGGTCTAAATCATTCATATGCCCTGAAGGGCAATCTGAGCTCTTCCAGGCAATGCCAGCAAAGCACAAGTTTTAGCTCGCTGTCTCAGTCTGTGTCTTTCTGTCTCTGTCTCTCTTCTCTGTCTTTCTTTCTCTGTCTCTTCACTGTCTCTCTATCTTTGTTGCTGCCTGTCTCTCTTCTCTCTTCCTCTTTGTCACTGCCTATCTCTCTTCTTTCTTCCTCTTTGTCTCTGTCTGTCTCTCTCCCCTCTGTCTCTCTTTCTCTGTCTTCTATGTCTCTTTACCTTTGTCTAGGCCTGTCTCTCCTCTCTCTCCCTTTGTCTCTGTCTCTACCTCTCTCTGTCTCTCTCCAGTTCCTATCAAACTGGAAAGTCTCCAAATAGTCTCCTGGAGATGGAACACATGTCTTTTGCCTAGTGAATAGAAGGGCAGCTAGGTGGCCTAGTTGATAGAACCTGGAATTAGTAAGACCTGAGTTCAAATTTGGTCTCAGACACTTATTAGCTGTGTGATCCTGGGCAAGTCACTTTACCTCTGTTTGCCTTAATCCACTGGAGAAGGAAATGGCAAAACATTCCATTATCTTTGCCAAGAAAACCCCATGAACAGTATTGGTATGCTATCGTCCATGGGGTCATAAAGAGTTGGATACAACTGAATGACTGAACAACAACAACAACAACAACTGACTAGAAAGTGATAACTGTAGTCAGTAGTTACACAACATTTTTTTCTTACAAAGGAACTCAAAGTTCTTTATAGTTTCTTTTTATCTTGTGAATTCCCATTCTACAGATGGATAAACTAAGGCATAGAGATATAGTATGCCTTAGCCTCTGTCACAGGGATAGGGTTTCAAAATTCCAAAATATGAAACAGATAAATGTGAAGGGGGAGGTGAGGATAATGTGTCACTTTACAAAAGTTTTGTTTTTTTTTTAAATCAAGGATGAGTTCATTTGAAATGTGAATTCCCTTAGCCCATAAAATGTTGCATTCCAGAAATTGTTTATTTATATTTACAGTTCTTCATAAATAAAAGGCAGATTGGTGTAGTAGATAAAGGGCTGATTTTGGAGTAAGGAAGACCTGGTTTCAAATTCTGCCTCTCTCACTTAAGAAGAGAAATTGAAAGGGAGATTAGAAGTTTTCAAAGACATGTTGACCCAGACTATCTGTTCACTTCTCTGATCCTGGAGCAGCACACATGCTAGGCTTAGAAACTCAACAACAGGAATTTGATGAAGTGAGGAGCTCATTGAAGCCCATACATGTTGTGTGAGACGGGAGGAGAGCCTGACAGCATCTGGAACAATTCTACAACTCCCAGGGGCTGGGTAGATGGAGGTGACTCACCAGCAAATCAGTCCTCATGTAGAAGACCCATTCATGACCTGGGTGACCCTTTGGTGCTTCCCAAGGCTTCTTTAATTGGGGAATAGAAAAGATTGAATGCACAGGGGGGCATCTCCAATCTCCGTCTTTTTTTTTTTTTTATTATGCAGCTGCACTATACCTTACCCATTAGATATGTTCCTGAAAAATTTTGGTTCCAACCTGTAATTTCATTGGAGGAGAGGGAGGAGAGGGAGGAGAGGAGAGAAACTGCTAGGGTGGAAATTTCCTCCAGCAAGGCAAGCCATTAACATACCTATGTCTTACAGTCTTAGAGAGTTGCCTAGAGACACAGAGAAGTTGAGGGTTTTACTCGTTCATGATCACACAGCTAATATATATCAGAAGGAGGACTTGAAATCAGGTCTTCCGTGTGACAAGACTAACCCTTTAGCCACTATGCCACACCATCTCTTATTCCTGAAAAGCCATGTATAAATTCTACTGTTTGTAATTCAGTGTCTTAACCCACTGGGGAAACTGACTTCAAAGGTCTTATCCTTGATAAAATCTTTTGTAGAGTGAAGAATTATCCTCTTCCCTCTCTTCTACATTTATGTGTTTTATGATTTGGAGTTTGTGTATAGTTTAGATTTTTCATAAAGCAGGCATTTTCACAGAACCTACTTTACCTCAGAGAGCAAATCACTGGTCCTGAGCCTATATGGCTCCCAGTCCTACTTCTTATTCCTCTCTTGGAGCCTGAGGCTAAAGATCTCCCAACAAAACTCAGAAAGGAATATGACTATCTCCTCCAAAATCATTCAGTGAGGGGCTGCATGATGTGAGCTGTCTGTCTCTGTCTCTTTCTGTGTGTCTCTTTGTCTCTGTCAGTCTGTCTGTCTCCCTCTCACTATCTCTTTTTTGGTCTGTCTCCATCTCTCTTTGTGTCAGTCTTTCTCTTCCTCTGTCTCCATCTGTCTGTCTGTCTCTTTCTTTGTCTCTGTCTCCCTTTCTCTATCTCTCTGTCTCTTTCTCTCTCAGTCTCTCTCTTTTTCTGTCTCCCTCTTTCTATCTCTCTGTCTGTCTTCCCCTCTATCTCTTTCTCTGTCTCCATCTCTTTGTCTCTTTCTCTGTCTCTTCCTCTGTCTCTATCTCTTTCTGTCTCTTTTTCTGTCTCTGTCTCCTTCTCTCTATCTCTCTGTCTCTTTCTCTGTCAGTCTCTCTCTTTTTCTGTCTCCCTCTTTCTATCTCTTTGTCTGTCTCCTTCTCTCTCTCTCTTTCTTGGTTTGTCTCCATCTCTGTGTTAGTCTTTCTCTTTCTCTGTTTCCATCTGTCTGTCTGTATCTTTCTCTGTCTCTCTCATACACAGCTTCCCCTAGAAAGTACTGTGCTTTTTATTTTCTATTCAATCATTTGTGCATCTGATGCATCTTGCCCCCCTCCTAGGAGAGAATGGACTCCTTAAAGGCATGGACTGTTTGGATTTTCTCTTTGTATCCCCAGTACTTAGCATAGTGCCCAACCCAGAGCAGGAATTTAACAAGCATTTGTTGACCTAAGTTGGATGTGATCCTCACCAATGAGGAAAACCCATCTATTCCTGAACTGGGAAAATGAACCCTCCCCCATCATTGACTTGGAGCAAACTGATAAAGGGCTTCTGTCTCTTATACTCCATTGTGGTCTAGCACTTAAAAATTCTTGTACTGAACACCTCACAGCTCAGCTCACCGTGGCAGCAGTATTCAGTTCATAAAAAATTTTCCCAGGTCTTTCTTTCTCCGTGCGAATTGTTGCATTTGCTTGTAAAACAGCTGCACTCATGTACAAAATTCCTGTAGATCCATGATAAAGGCTATCCTGGAAAACAGTCCCCAAAGAAAATCATGAAATAAGCTTTATAAGACAATTTCAAAGCCACCACCTTTATCTTTTATTATAAAACTAAGATATCCACAAGTGTTAGTAGTATTAAAGGACAGAACCTCTTGTGTCAGATTAGGACTGACTTTTTATTCAAGTAAAAAGTCCTTGGAGGAAAAAAATAGCAAGGGAAGTCTCATTCAAAATCACTATGTGATGAGAGGACCCCTGATCATTTGAGTTTCCCATTAACTTGATAAAATTCCAAGATATAAAGAGTGGGTAGCAGAGACAATGAAGTGTCCAAAGTGATCTGATCTGTACCTTGAGTCACTCAACATCTCAACCTATGTATCTTTTAGGACCATGGTCTCCATGAGGATAGGGTTTCCTGGGGAGTCTGGGTCTGACGTCAAGGATTATCAGCCTATCTGAAGGTAGAGATATGGGCTATATCTCACTCTCCTTCTGATTGTGGGACTTTTCTCTATCACGACTGCACTTAACTGTTTTCTCTTATCCTTCTTTCCCTCTGCCTCTTCCCTTTGCCATGAAAGCTACCAACTTCCACCCTTCTGAGCCAAGCATTGGCCCATCAGGACAGCCATAAACTAACCACTACCTAGACAACCATAACAGTAGTTGTATGAGGCCATTGGGAAAATTCCTTCCCTTCTAAACAGTTTTAGGAGTGTGGACCCACTGAGCACCTTAAACCTGAATTAGTCATCCTGGAGAACCAACCTGAGAGTAAGGGTACCCGGAGAGGTAAATATACATAGAATGTTTTCTCTCAACCTCTTTTCTTTTTTGAATTACTATAAATCCCTTAAAAAAAAATCCCAACTCCAGTGCCATTTCCTCCGTGAAGTCTTCTCTCTTCCCTCCCATCTACAATAACTTCTCCCCTCAAACATCATGTAACACTTTGCATCTCTCTTGTGTACTTACTTTGTAACATTGTATAGCTGTATATGTCATATCCGCCTAATAATCAGAGACCCTGTTTTATCCAAACTTCGCATTTCCTCCAAGCATCTAGCATAATCCTCCATAAACAATAGGTATTTAATAAACATTTGAGGATGTTGTCAAATCCTTTTATAAACTGAAGAATATTCCCCTGATTTACATTTTGTGATTTATGGTTTGTATATTTCTGGTTTTATGATAAAGCAGGAGTCCTCTCAGAATTCATTTTAGTGGAAGAATAATCATCCCTACAGTCTCTGGGGCCATCGTCATCCTGAAGTTGTCCCTTGGCAAGAAAAGTCCCCAAATCAGGCAGCAAATCTGTATGCCTCCAGCCAATATTCATGGTAACACTACACATCCTTACCCAAACTCTCCAGGATTCATATTTTTTATAAAATCCAAGTAAGTAAGACAACATGAACATCAGGGAGATGAGGAATGAAGTGATGGATACATACATAACCCATCCTTGCAACAAATCAAAATACACTTCGGTGGCAGCTACCAGAATCCAGACCCAGCATCCAAATACCTGAAAAAAGAAAAGAAAACTTGTGTTGAAGGCATTTCTTTCCTACAGTGTAGTTTTCTGTGCAAGGCATGAGTCTCTTTTCATCTTTGTTGCTGTTTTCCCCCTTGGCGTGGTACGTTCAGAATTAATGATCTACTTTAACCCATGACTTTCCTGGTCCCCTCGGCCATTGTTCATACATCCTCTGGTTCTCTGCTCTAAGCAACTCAATACTATAACCAAATGGGACTTCTCCCAAACTAAAGTGAAACAAATTCCTTTCCCAAATTCTTGCAATTTAGATGCCTACTGAGGCAAGGTCTTTTACCCTTTTTGACCTCTCCCTTCATTTTCACCCCTATTCAGTTTAGCCCCAACCCTTTTACCTTCTGTCCTCTTCCATAGTGTCCTCTGGAAACCACTCCCAACCACCGCTATTGTTAACAAATTCTTCCTCATCCTAGAACTCTTGTTTTCATTTTCTTCCCGTTTTCCTGGTGCTAGCAGAAAACTGGATTCCTCCAGTAGATGCCTCATCACTGGTTCCACTCTACAGTGCTGGCTACTCTTCTCATGCTGTATGGCACCCTGGGTCAGAAGGAGCAGTTGGCATATTCTCTACTCCTCACGTTACTTCCTGATCCTTCCCCAACCACTGTAGTTCCATTATGTCTTTTGCTTTGACTTTTACACCACTTGTCTATTTTACTTTGTCCAGATCTTTGTTTCTGTCAGCTGCTGGCTTCCATATTACTCTCCTTGCTCAGAGTTCAGCACCTGAATTACATATACAGTCTTCTTCGACTTACCCTCTACCCTTATCCTTAGAGGTTCCTTTATTCATACGGATGTCGGATGTCGCTATGAAGCCGTGTTCTCTGGTTTCTCCACCTCCTCAATTCCCATGACTCATCTCCATTGTAGCTCAGTCTTACACTGACCTCCCCATCACCCTCAAGCCATTTACCTCCGTGATCTTGAGCACTGAAGTTCCTTTCCTGTAATATAATTTCCTGTCCCTCTGTTTCTCTCTTCTGCCCCTGGGTTGTATGGTGGCTAGAGCAGTGGGTTTGGAATCGGGGACAACTGAGTATGAATCTTGCCTCAGACAGTTACTAGCCTGGGTGACCCTGGACAAGTCACTTAACCCTTCTCAGCTTCAGTTTCCTCATCTTTAAAAGGAGGATAATAATAGCACCCACATCACAGTGTTGTTACGAGGATCAAATGTGGTAATGTGCTAAACTTTGCACTTGGCAAACCTTAAAGTGCTATAGAAATGCTAGCTATTACTATTCAATATCCATTACTCCTCCACATTTGCTTTTTCTTCCAAGGCCCTCAATACTGTTTTGGCCTTCCTTTATACATTCAATTGGTTCAATGATGCACTTGTCCCCCATCTTTGAATCTTAACTCTACATTCACTCTCCGCTGATCCCTAATTCCCAGGCCGCTGCTGGAGGAAGTCATCCATGCCAACTGCCCACTAAGTCCACTATTAATTCATGTCTCTCTGATTCCAACTAGCTCCTCCCATGTCCATGGTCATCCTTTTATCATTTCTTCATTAAATATCTTGTCTGTTTGGGTCTGATTGGCTCAGAATGAATGTCAATAACAATTGTTTCTGGTTTTGCCAGAAACCCTGAGGGTCTTCTCCTTCTAGATCTATATATATATATATTTTAAAGAGGCCATTCTTTGCTTCATTTTTTAATAAGCCTTAATCACTCAATGGGTGCTGCCTCAGTCAAACTGAGTCTGTTAAAGACTTTAGCTGAAAAGGCCAAGGTCCCTTACTGCATCCTGGGCCATCTCCAGTTGTCCTGATCCATGTCTGGCCACTGGACCCAGATGGCTCTGGAGGTGAAAGTGAGGCCGGTGACTTTGCACAGCTCTCCCTCCCTTAAATCCAATTCACTTTTATGGCATGGCATCACCTCCCTGATGTCGTGGTCCTCTTCGAGAACGAAGGACAAACAGCAGCACTGAATATCTTCCTCCTTGTAGAGACCATTCATGAACTTTCTCTGCTCTCCTCAAATCCCCAGTCAATCCTTCTCTCAGCACAAGAGCTCATCTTCTATTCTCCTGAGAAAATCAAAGTTTATCACTAGCTCCTTCCCTCCCTTCCTCTTTTCACTTCCTCATGCAGCCTCTCCGTCACTCCATTCTCAGAGGATGAGGTTGCCCTTCTTGCTGACTCGTTGCTCTCCTCCATCATTCTCTTTCTCATCATCAGTGTCTATTCGTCCCTGGCTCTTCCTACACTGCCTGAAAACATACTCAGGTCTCCTCCACCTTTAAAAACACCTTGACTCTGTCATCTCCTCAGGCTATCATCAGGCGAAATCGTAGAAAGAGTTGTCTAAACTTGTAGCCTCCACCAGCCTTACCACCCTAATGAAACTGCTTTCCCACAGATTACCAACAATCTTCTTTTTTTTTTTTTAAAGGCAGTTGGGGTTAAGTGACTTGTCCAAGGTCACACAGCTTGACCCAGCTAGTAAGTGTCAAGTGTTTGGTCTGAGGCCAGACTTGAACTCAGGTCTTCCTGACTTCAGGGCCGGTGCTCTATCCACTGCACCACCTTGCTGCCCCTACCAACAATCTTTAACTGAATTAGATGGCCTCTTCTCAGTCACAATCACATCATCACTAATGTAGCACTGGAAGATAGCCATCCCAGTCTATAGTCATCCCAGTCTACCTCCTTCATTTTACACATGAAGAAACTGAGTCCCAGGGAATTTAAGTGACTTGCCCAACTCATCCTCAGTCTTTCTTGAGCTCTTTACAACATCAGCCCCTCCCTCTTCTGGAATTCTGGCTTCCCTCTTGGATTCTGGGACACCGTTCTTTCCAGGTAGAAATCCAATCTGTCTGACTGCTCATTTTCAATGTCCTTTGCTAGATCACCATCCTTCTCCTGACTTTTTAGAGTGAATAGATCCCACCCAGGCCCTCTTTTCTTCTCCCTCCACATTCTCTCTTTAGGTGATCTCATCCACACTCATGTCAATGATCATTTCTATAAGATGACTCTAGGTGGGTGTGTATATGTATATATGTGTGTATATATATATATATATATATAATATATATACTGTGTATAAATTATATATAGAGATATATGTGTATACACATGCACACACATATCCCCTAAGCCCTTTCCTGAGATCCAACCCTATACCTCAGTTTGCCAGACATCTCTACCTAGTCATTTGATCAGCACCTCACATTTAATGTTCCGAAATGAACTCATCACCTTAATTCTCTTCTTCCTCAAATCAACTTTTCCATCCTCCAGACTTCCTTATTTATGTTGAGGATAGATTATTCTCAGTCACCCAGAATTATAACTTCAGAGTCATCTTTGAATTTTCCCTCTCCCTCTCCCTTCCCCCCACCTAATCGGCTGCTGAATCTTGTCCATTTTACTTCCACGTTATCTTTCTCATCTGTCCCTTTCTCTCTACTCACACAGTTACTACCCTGATTCAGACCACATCATCTCTTTCCTGGACTATTCTAAGAGCTTCCTAATTGGTTTCTTTACTAGCCTCTCCTTTCTCCAATCCATCCTCCTCTTCACTCAAAAAATTATTTTCCGAAGGCACATGTCTGACTATGTCACTTTCCTAATGACAAACCTTCAGTGGCTCCCCATTGCTTTTAGGATAGAACGAAGCTCCTTAGCCTGGCTCTTCAGATTCTCCACAAGCTGGCCCCAGCCTCTCTTTCTAGCCTCACTTCACATTACTCTCCCTCACACGCTCTGTCCTAGATGCCACCTTCTCAATCTGTCTACCCATAGTCTCCCATGCTCGCTTAGAATGCTCCCCTTTCTCACCTCTACCTCATGGAACCCTTGTTTTTTCTTCAAGAATCAGGTCAAGTGAGGAAACTGAGGTCTGGGGAGATTGTGACTTTCCCAAAGTCAGCTACTAATCAATAGCAGAGACAAGATTTGAACACAGATGTTCTGATGTCATATCCCATGTTCTTTCCATTCAACCATATTGCCTTTGGCCTTCAATCTACTGGGATGAGAGATTTTATCTCCAGACAAACCCCTCCCCCTCTCACTCGTCTTTTGCCTTTCCTACTACTCCTTGAAAAGAAGACCAAACCAATGATGTTTCAGGTACTGTTCATCTTGCCCTAAACAAACAAACAAACAAATTTCTAAGCGAGTGAATTAACTAGTCTCATGTTGTTTACATCCAATCACTGGCTGAGCCATGAGTCCAGTTAAGAACAACGTTATCAGAGATTTTCTGCACCCCAGAATCAGAATCACAGGAACTCAAAGCTTATAGGAAAGTGGGGACATCATCTAGTTCCAGTCCTCTCTTCATATTTAAGGAAATGGAGGCCCGGAGAAGGAGAATGATTTGCCCATGGCCACACCGTCTACAATGACTTGCCTTTCTCCATCATCCAGAGTCCTGCCCCTGGGCCTCATTTTGTTACATTGCCTGAAGTCCCACTCAGTGGAGATTTATTTAGGTATCATTTTCTTTTTGTTTCTTTCCTTCTTTTCCAGACAAGGGGTAAGTGACTTGCCCAGGGTCATATAGCTGGTAGGTGTCTGAGGCCAGATTTGAACTGAGGCCCTCCTGACTTCAGGGCCTGTGCTCTATCCATTATGCCACCTAGCTACCCACTTAGGTATCATCTTTGAAACATTCAAATACTTATGGGGGAGAAGAGACAGCTATTTGTTATTCACATATTTGTTTTAAGTAGCGCAATGAGATTGCTTAGCTTTTATACTGAGAGAAAGGGAATTTCAATAAGTGAGATGTGGAGTGAGGGAAAGAGGCAATTTTGAACATGGAGCAATTGGAAGAGGTGAGTCCTTCGGTAAGCCTCAATGTTGTTCTGCAGTTGTGTCTGATTTTTTGTGATCTCATTTGGGATTTTCTTGGCAAAGACACTGAGATGGCTTGCCATTTCCTTCTCCAGTTCATTTTACAGATGAAGAAACTGAGGCAAACAGGGTTAAGTGACTT